CTTAAACAGAAGAGTGAGAAAAAAAATTCACCCCCCTCAGAGTTGTCATGAGTGTAAACTAGATCATTTAAACAAAGAACATGTTTTGGTACCAGGCTGTAAACATGTTTATTTCTGCTGTGCAATTGGTATTTTTAACATAGGAGTCAATGAGGATTTGCTCGCTTCTGACACCAGCCCCCAGCGGATGAGGGTGGAACTGCAATTTTTGGTATTTCCGGGTTGGGACCAATTTTAGAGCCGCATTGTGGGGGCTTGATTGAGGGCAGTGTGGAGACATGCCAGAGGAGAAAGGCACAAGTCAGTGGGTCATTTTATGCGTCCAAAGTTAGCTAATGGTTAGCTTAGGATGAATGAATGCTACATGTGGAGGTCCTGACAAGGTCCCACCTTTCATCAACCGTAGGAGTTATGTGGAAGAATATTGTAAAAACACAAAAAGTGAGCTTCACTGTTTTTGTCGGTTCATGCGTGCATGTTCAGTAGAAATATGTTTCAATGCCCACCACATGAACTTTGATGTTCATTAAACGTTAAGCGCATCTACAAGTGATTACCATTAGAAGTCCACTTGATTCAAGACAGCCACCCCAGCCCTGCCACACAGATATGGTCCTAAGATTTGGTGTAACAGTTTCTTTATTTATAGGTTCTTGTTCTGTTTCCATGCCTGTCTGCTCTCAGTCAGCAAACCATTCTCACCTGTGCCTGCTTGTTTATTTCCAGCTCAGATCAACAAGATAGCCTCATGGAGGGGGCCATCGTCTTGAACACTGTTGATAACCATTTAGTCATTCTCCGCCTCCTGATGATAACACTTTACTTTCCTTGACATTGAATGTGCTACTACTAGTTTATCCGTTTAATTATAGATTCACTAGGATAAATACAATGAAGTTTATCTCTCACCAAATAGAATATTTACTAAGAAATCACAATGTAACCATAGACACATTATATGGTATATATGTTGTGTGTGTGTGTATGTGTGCGTGTGTGTGTGTGTGTGTGTGTGTGTGTGTGTCTGCTCTGTCTTCTCCATCCCCAGTGAGTCGTGGTGGATGGCTGCTTATACTGAGCCAGGATCCTCTGGAGGTTTCTTCCTGTTAAAAGGGAGTTTTCCTCTCCACTGTTGCTAAATGCTTGCTTAGTATGAGGATTGCTGTAAAGTCACTGACACTAGTCAGTGACTCGATGCAATTTGCTGGGTTCCTTATATAGGAAACTTTTTACTGATTGGCTTAATGAACTGACCTGTATTGGAATGTTTTATTATATGAAGGTCCTTGAGACGACTCTTGTCGTGATTTGGCGCTATATAGATAAACTTGAATTGAAAACTTGAAAGTAAACGAATATCTCACAAACCACAAGATAGGTTTTACTACTAGATGATAGATGACCCGCACTTTTCAGAAATTAAGCAGCACATGTAGGACTACAACCGATGTCCTTCATTAGGTCAACAGTGTTTAAGATGGCCACCACACCTAATTGGCGTTTGCACACAAACGTAGCTCTATCAGTTTATCGAGATACACTTTAGTTTTCTTGTAACCGGGTCAACACAATCTGAGAAAGGTGGTGAGTGCTGTGAGTCTGCAGGGGATCTTAGGACTTAATAGGAAATGAGCAGACTTGAGTAGGCTGTGAACTTTGAGCTTAACAACGATGGTTTGTAGAACAAGAAGGTGAACTAAACTCACTATTGCAACATAAAAAAGGGTTTTTGGTTGAGAATAAAGTACTGCACCAAACAGAGAGTGCTACAGGACAAGCCTTAGAGGCTTCATCAAGAGAAAGTTGCCCATATTTCCCCCAAAGGGCAGGATTGAGTGGCTTATCTGCCATGTGCAGCGTCAAGTCTGGTTGTTGCTCACACTTCTGTATAGGTTCTCATTTTAGATTATCCAAGACACATTATTGATACATTGTTTGACTTTCCTTGTTGCCTTTAACTTTACACCTCAACTACTGCAACTTTAGAAAACAAAGCAATAATGTACCAAGCACTGCCTGCTCCCGCCTCTCAGCGTTACCTATCCACGAGTCCAGGTCCCATCATGCAGACACGGCAGCGGGAAGGAGCGTGTGGTGCAGCAGCCGGGAGAAACTCTGAGATGTTGAGTCATTCCTAACTTTTTATTAGCATTTCTAAACATCACAGTTGTCAGCTGTTTCTCTGAGTGGGGCTTTGTTAAATCAGCCACAGCCGGTGCATTTTAATCTATTTCATTAATTAAGCACTTTTCAGGAAAAATTTCTGACCCGTTTTTTCTTTCCGACTACTCAAAAATAAGCAAAAATCAGGAATTATTTCCACTTTTGGACAAAACTGAATATGTGGATATGTAAGCAATGGAGTACAAAGAGAAGAAAGCAGATGTTAAAGAGCTGAATGAAACATCTGTTGATTTCAAAGCTGTACCAATTACAGCAGGATGTGACTGGTATTTAATGGCTGTTGTTAAATGAAACTGGTTTCATTTAAAATATCAATAGCTACCTTTGGCACAAAAGCTGCTATTTGAAACATTTTATTAGCATAATATATTGTAAAACAGTTAGTTTCAGTTAGTGAAAGATTTAATAACACACTCCTCAATCATCACCTCTACAGTCAGCTTTGTTCAGGTCTCTGCAAATAGGAATGAGACAAGTAGACAAGCGATGTAGTCCACTCTTTGCTCTGCTTTACTGGAGCTGAACAACATTTCATTTGTTGAGCCAACAGGCCAAATCAAGTCGTCTTTATTAAAGTCTCTTTGATGGATTCACCTCTGGCCTCCTTCTCCTCCCCCTGCTGTGATCTATCACCTGTCCCAGCACTGGAGCTTGTGATAAACCTGTTTAGCGCTGGGGTCAGTTCGTCAGAGCAGAGCGTGGGGGGCGGGGCTACTTTTCTGCTTGTACAGTTTGGTAAATGACCCGGGTCTGCCTTTACGACTGGAAGCATAAATATGCTGTTGGCACTGCTGTGGGATTTGTGCTTCACACTCATGTTGGTCAACATTTAAAGTTATTTGTTAATCTTGTTTAATTAGAACTTATTTCTCAGAAGGATTTTTTCTGCTGTGAACTGCATTCGTTAACAAGGATTGACCCACAACACTTTGGTGACTGGTAGCACCTTCTAGAATCCTGGAACCCCCCAAGGCACTTTACAACACAATCAGTCAATCGCCCATTCACACTCACACATTCACACCCTGGTGGGGATGATATACAATGTAGCTACAGCCACCCTGGGGCGTACTAGCAGAGGCGAGGCTGTCGAGCACTGGCGCCACCAGTCCCTCCGACCACCACCAGCAGGCAAGGCGGGTTAAGTGTCTTGCCCAAGGACACAATGACAGCGACAAACTGAGCAGGGCTCAAACCTGCAACTTCCCGATCATAGGGAAAGCACGTTACTCCTGTGCCGCTGTCGCCCTTAACTTTGTGTTTTATTGGGAGCAGCTGGATTTAATCTGCAGTAGCTGAGGTGAATCACAGAGGACAGTATGAGCAAATAAAGCTCAGGATCAAGATGACACTGGATCATCAGTGAGTCATCCTACACTTAGCAATGACTGCTGTCCCAAGCATCTTCACCAAAGTACACACCACTGTACACCAAAATACACTCCTGTTCACATACCAACGTACACACCAAAGTACACACAAAAATGCACAATGTACACACCAGCGGATACACCAGTGTACTCACCAGCCGACACACCAGTGTACTCACTAGCGTACACACCAGCATACTCACTAACGTACACACCAATGTACTCACCAGCGGATATACCAGCGTACTCACTAGCGTACACACCAGCGTACTCACTAGTGTACACACCAGCTTACTCACTAACGTACGCACCAATGTACTCACCAGTGTACACACCAGCATCCATACCAGCATATTTTCAGAATTGATTTAAATTTCTACATAATCATGTGATGTTTTTTTGTACATGCATTTTTATTTGAAGCTAAATGTAAAAAATAAAGTTGTTTTGGGATGCATTACTTTACCAATGAAAACAGAAAAAGCTTTTATGAGAAGTGTGTGAGTAGGACTGGGATATCTTACTGTGAAAAACCCTTTGAACGATGCAACAAACTGCATCAACAGATATAGTTCAGCGCAGCGCAGCAATTGTCTATTTTTTGCTAATTTTAAATATATTTTTAACCATTTTCTAAATTCTTTTTAATATTTTTACATTTTTTGTTTTTGTGAAGCGCCTCGTGATTTCTGTCATGGTCGGTGCTGAGTTAACCTCTGTGCTGTGCTGAGTCTTTCTGTGTGCAGGTGGGTGTGTCTAGAGAGCAGCTGCTGTCAATCTGCTCATCAGTGGTCAGGGGATTTAAGGAGCGCCGGGACAACTCATCAGTGCCGGATGATACTCAATTTTGGGTAGTATTCTCACCAGTTCCTTGCCTGTCTCTAGTTTGTTTTTATCTCCTGTGAACCTCGCTTCCCTGTACTTACCTGCCCTGTTTCCTCCGACCTCAGGAACTTCTCGTCCACCAGCCAGCCTCCATCATCAACAAATAAGACTCATCGGATTCAAACCCTGCCTGCCAGCCCCGTCGCTCACTCCTGACCGCCTGCTCTCCAACGCCCACCTGCCAACCTGGACATCCCGGACTCCGGTGCTCAGCTCCCAGCCATTACTTCTGACTCTCACTCGACCCGCTCAGCCAGCCTTGACTTACCCTCCTCTCAAAGCCTTCTCCAACAACCTGGAAACCAACTCCACTGGAACCACCCGAACTCCGACCTTCATCTTCACCTCCACCGTACACAAATAAACCTTTTTACTTACCTTCTGCCTTTGTGTGTGATTCTGCATGTCGTGGGTCAAAAAACTACAACCCAACTTGACAGATTTCTATCTTGAGAGGCGCTATAGAAATGGTATTTTCTTCTTCTTCTTCATGCTTTAGGGTTCTTTTAAAAATAGAACTCCTGTTTAAAAGTTTCACAATCTTAAAAAAGCTCAAACTGATTAAACATTCAAGATACACTTTTTATTTCACAAGCTTGTCTGTTAATCACATCACTGAATGCAGTCATGGCTGAAAACATCTCTGCTGTTTATATATGATGTCAATAAACTTTACAACAACTGATCCAACATTCAGCCTTTTAAATGTTTAAATGTGTAACGTAACATGTTTACACTGGGCTTAAACCTTAAGACTTCACTCTTCTCACCCTTCAGGGAATTTGTTTGCAAAGGTCCACATCAAAGCTTAACTTACCTTGTTCGAAATCAAATCCCGAAATGTTCTCTCTGTATAGAGAGGTCTGTCTGCACCACAGTAATCTGTGTTATGTACATTATACACATTTGGATTAATGGTTTGTGGGTTATCTCTCTCTCTCTATTAAACAGAAGCCACAGTCCGTTGAGATATTCTCATGTGTTTGCTAAAATATTCTTTCATTTTAATAATATTAATTCAAATGATTATTTTGCCGTTTGAATGGAAATTAGAACGACCAACCAACAAATGTCATTTTCCAATGGGACATGAATTATGTGATTTTCTTCAAACAACAAGATTTTCCTATGCTCAGTCCAAATGTTTTGGTTTCTTTGCAAAACCAATAAATTAGGAGTACATCAGTGTGTTCATAAAGTGAAAAAGGTGGAAAGTCACATGTCTGAAGCTGTTAAGGGGGTGTACTTTTTGGTTTTAAATCTTACTTTCTCTCTCGCACCTTCATCTTTAAAAGATGATAAAAGTTTCTTTTCCACAAACCACAACACTTTCTGGGCTTTGTCCTTCAGTTTGTAATCAAGAGCCAAGAGCCACGACATCAAAAGTTAGCTGGGCGCACCATCATGGTAGTCATGGTGGCCATGAGGTTCGGACCTTTCCAGTAGTACCACTTAATGCCGTTGTAGCGAACCACATTTGACGAGCTGGGGTAATAAATGCCGTTCAAGTTGGAAGGGCCGCAAGCCTCAAACCACCATCCTGCAGAAAAAGGAAAAAAGTCCAAATCAGCTAAAACGTTACACCCAAAGTCAGCTGGAGCTTCTTACTGGTGCAAAGGGAAAATGAAATGAAAATGTTGGACACGGGTTACAGACAGAGACATATGTAGATGTTTAGTAGCGTTTTATTGGCGTAGCATACCTCCTGATGCCAGCTGCGCGCACTTGCAGGTGCAGCGGTCATTGTCTCTGTCCTTGGTGCTGAACTGGCTTCCTGTGTGGGCCAGGCTGCTGGTTCTGCCTGCGGTTCCACCAAACCCTTTCACATGAAGGCTGGATTTTTAACAGGGAGAAAACAGAGAACACCATTTATTTCACAAACTGGGTTTTAAATCCCTGTTGGTTGAGAAAGTGTTGCAGTCTGAAAACTGGAATGAAAACCATCCCGGATTCTAAATGCTTCTTTCATATGGAAGGATAATGAAGGGGCGACGTCTGAGTGGGGCTTCTTGATATAAGGTTTTTATTAGTCATTCTTTGATTTGCCAACACCAGTAGGCTCATCTGACTTCAGAATTTAATTAAAAAATCAAGCAAATAGCAGATTAAATAGGAAATGTTCAGATGCCCCTCCTTTTACTGTTTCATGTCATTTACAGCGTTGAGAATTGTTATTTTGGAAGAAGCTCTCGTCTACGCTGCAATGAATTCAAATAACCCAGTTTCAAAAAGATAATAACGATGAATAATGAATCCGTGAGGAATATAAAGGAATCTGCTCTTGAAAACCACGGTGGGAAATCGCAGCCTTTTTTAGTACACAAGGTAGACGCCCCCCTCCAGGCTCACATTGTTGCTAAACATCAATATGAAAACTAAGCAAAAGAAATCTCATTATTTTTCCTCCATGCCGTGCTTTGTGAGACAACCCTGCTTGAAAGCTACTTCTCCTCCAAGTTCTACAAGTTCACTTTCTTTGAGCAGAAACTGTATGTGTGTATTCCTGTCCATCCATGAGTGTGTATGCGTGTGTGTTGGAGCTGCTTTGATGAGAGTGGACGGAGAGGTCAGTCCTGCAGCACGTCCTCTCCTCTGCCCTGTAATTCCGGTCTAGTTAGAGCCAAGCTCCCCCCTGAGTTCTGCGACTCCCTCTGCCACCGCCTCCCTCCCCAGCCCCAGGGCACTCTGCCTGTGATGACTAAATGAAGAATCTTCCTCTTGAATTTAGACGTTCACAGGTCAGGATAACGCATCGTGGAGAGATGCAAGAGGAGAGTTCAGAATGGCAGAGCTGGGAGATGGGAATAATGATGGAATAGCAAAAATAAAAAAATAAATAAAAGGGATGGGGGCTGGAAAAGTAGAAGGCTTTTCCTGTGATGGATTTGTGATGTGAAGAAAATTAAAAACTATGAAATTAGACAAGATGGTGAGGGTGGGCCGGAGGGTAGGATATGAGCTGTGAGCCGCGGCCTTCAGACGGATTTCTTCAACCATCCCACCAAAATCAGAAACTCTCTTTTCTTTTAACTGTTATCCTGTGCACTAAAAACAAGGAGAGTTTCAACAAAGGCATGCTTACTTCTTCCTTAACTTCAAGAGCAGCTTTCCTGGGCAACCTCAAAGTAAAAGGTGGTCTGCCACGCTGATGATTTATGTATGAATCTTGTTAACTGAGTTTTAGGTGAATGCCTTCATGCAGCTCCAGGGACAAGGATAGAGCTGAGGATGAGTTTCTCTGGCTGACTACCTGCAGAACGCCACAGCTCCATCTTGGGAGTAATAATATAAATCCACAGGTCAAGTGAGCGTCCTTAATGTGCATGTAAAGTCGGTACATATTGAAGGTGTTAACACATCTCAGATGTAGCAAGTTACGGACGTGATTGCATTCATTCATCTCGCGCAGAATAGCCTCAAGCAAAACTGTGAGATGTTCGGTTTTTCTGCGCTAATTATGTGGAAGAAACTCAGGCAAATGCAATTGGCTGCCCTATTAAGAATCTTGGAAGCATACACCCACAGGTGATTAGGATTTGTCATCTCTTAGATCATCAGCCCAAATAAACACAAGCAAACTCCTGCTTTTATATAAATCTTACCCTGAACTGTTAAGGCTGTTGTTATGTGGAGGTTTGACTTTAGAGCACCAAACATAATCGTGTTAGTGATTGCAGGGTTACAGAGAGTGTTGTTTGAGCTGTCAGCTCCTGGCAGCAGCACGTATAGCTGAGCATTTCTGTTGAACTCCGGGGAATGCGGTGGCTTCCTGTGGGGAATTTCAGGGGCAGCAGTAGCTTGTTGTGATGTGAGAAGGAAAAAAACAGAGGCAGGGGAATGTCATTCCATAGCCTCCTTCAGTCTCCTCAGCTGAAGTGATGTTTCACATAAGAAAGGTAGAGTGGTGTCAAACGTTTTGAGGACCAGGATTTGAACAATTACTAATAGTTTAAAAAGATGCTGTGTGTGTGCACGGTGAATAATACTTCTCAGTAGAAATGTATTAGATGTGACCATTCCTTCCACTTATTTAGTGTGAGGAAGGGGGGACCCTAGACATCCTTCTCCCCAGTGATACTCTCCAGCTCATCCTGAAGGATCCTAAAGTGTTTCCCAGACTGGAGAGGACATGCAATGCTGACACTGTGTCTCCTCCCGGTGGGACAGTCCCAGAGAACATCTTAAGGAAAGCTACCAGGAGGCTTCCTCATGAGATCTTTGAACCGCCTCTTCTCACTGACAATCACATTACACACTACAATAAAAACACAACACATTAAGTAAAAGACAAAATCAGCATTCTGAAAACTACAAACGTAAATAAAATACCAAAACTTAGCCATCGGTTCTGTTTGGGTTTAATGTTCGACGTTAATAAAAAGACTTTTCTTTTCACATTCCTGCTTTAAAACCCTCGGCAGACAAAGTGGTGTGATTATGGAAAAGCAAAGATCTGGAAACACCTTTAATCATCTTAGAACATCTAGAATAACTTGGTTGATTAAAGTACTTCTACTGGAGTGTAGAAGCTGAATAGATCACACAAATCTAATCTATGAGGCCCACGAACAGAAGCAGATGAGCTGCAGCATTCGAAGCAGTTTGTAAGTGGTGTAGAGGTGGCTGATCACACCAACGTAAGAGGCGTTACAGAGCGATGAAAGTCTGAGTCATATTTTACAGATCTGGGAAGATGCAGCTTTACGTGGGCAGCTGCTGATGCTGAGTGGCTGGAGCCAGCACTACAGGAGTGTCAACACAGTTAGTGCCAGTTTCCAGAGTTGATTTGATTTAAGTTTGACTGAAATTCAGGAAATCTAATTTCATCCCATCCTTATTTAACAGTTTGTTTCTCTTTAGGGCCATAGGGAGCTGGTGCCTCTCCAGCAGTCATTGGGTAGGGGACACCCTGAACTGGTCTTCAGTCCATTAGAGACACACAGAGACAAACAACCAGTCACACAGCCATGCAGCCATCTAGGGACAATTTACAGTCTCCAATTAGCCAAACTTTGCTTGGTGGTCAGAGCTTGACCCCTGGGGCTCAGCTCCTAAAGGTTAGAAGAGACCAAGTAGCAGGTGTTCTGATTACCAGAACCACAAACTGGCTTTAGGTGTTACTGGTCTCTTCCAGTGGTCTGGGTCGCAGGGACAGCAGCGCCAGCTGGGATGCCCAGAATGTCTTCTCCAAGTAGGGAATCCTTATTAGCTGCTACGACGAAACCTATCAACGACAGCCCCAAATCTGGAAAAGCTAAGCAATCAGATAGCCGGCCTAAACATGCGACAATTATTCAATCTTCTCTATTAACGTTTAGTTATGACAAGTATTTGGTCTATTAGACCATTTTCATCTGAGTAGAACATTTTTCCAGGGTTGAATAGAACATTTCTTTTCAGAGTAGGCTGTAGCTGACTTCACCTGTAGTTGTTTGCCTCTCCATCTATG